GGGGCATAGTGTTAACCAAGTTTTGGCAAAAATTTGGTGTAAAACAATTCCATATTTCTTGAAGCTTTTGTCTCAGTTCGGTGATTGTACAAGCAGGATGTTGTCGTAGAACCTTTTTCATCTCGTGCTACAAAGTTTCAATAGGTGACAGATCTGGACTGCTAAAAACCCATTTCAAAAGTGGGACATTATTTTCTTCCACCCATTTTATAGCCTTTTTTGAGGTATGGAACGCTGCACCATCTTGCTGAAACGCAAAATCTTGGCCGGATGTCAAACATTCTTCCATCATTGGTAAAAGGGACTCTTCTAAAATTGGCAAATATTATTTGTATCCACATTTCCATCCATAAAATGAAGTTTTCCTACTCCTTTTGATGACATACTGCCCCAGACCATAATGGATGCTGCGACTGTCACCAACACAAACTTCGAATCAGGCCTCATCACTCCATTGTATTGCACACCATTGTCGAGGTGTCCATTGCCTATGTTCTTTAGCCCATCTAAGCCGATTTTTCTTTTGAAGTGGAGTTAATAGTGGCTTTTCTTTGACCTATAAACAAGTTCTGCAACTTTAGGGTTTTTACTTCACTTTTTTTTATAAGAAGACTTACTTTGCAAGTGCTAAATCCCAGTTTGTGGGCCTCTCTATGAGTTGTGGACCTCGAAATTCTCCTTCCGACAGCGTCACTCCACAGAGCACTTAATTGTAATTAATTGGCACGCCTGTTTTTCACGATTATTCTTCTTAATGCTCTTCGATCGGCATTTGTGATATTACTTTTTTTCACATATCGTGGCTTAATATTAACTGAACCAGTTACGTTATATCTTCTAACAATATTTCTCACACTGTACCGCGATAAGTCTAACAAAGTTGCAATTTCTGAGTTTGATTTCCCAGAATTAAAAAATGTAATTATCAGTAACCGAGTTTTCTCACTAATGACCTTTCCTCTACCCATTTTGAAAGCCTTGACTACCCAAAATTATTTTAAACGTATTCTGACAGCTGTCATTAATAAAAACAATTGTCATGGCTTTTATTTCTCACAGCCACCTATGCGATATAGACTTATTTTGCATTGCTGTAATTGCAACATGTTTTATTTTTATGGTGCAAATTTGATTAGGGAATGATAAAGTTGGTGTTTTCTACTATATATAATCAAAATATTCATTGTTAATATTTTAAACCTATAACACCCTGCTACATCTTTATTATTTGTGTTTGATAAGAAAAAAACTAAGATTTCAATAGTAGGGCCAACTGAAGTGGGAAGGGGCTCGTATATGTACAGTTGATGCTACAGGACAAAAGGCGAAACGTCATATTGAAATTTTTGGTTTAACCATTGCACCTGCAACTTAGCAACGTATTGTAGATACAATTTTTAATCCTGAACTGGAGCCTAATGTGATGGACTATTTAGATGACATCATTATTTTGTCGGCTTCTTTTTCTGAACATTTACAACTTTTAGATCTAGTGTTCGATCGTCTCCGCGAGAAGTATCACTTCTGTAAGCCAGAGCTGCGTTACCTAAGTTACTTGATTGACGATCAGTGTCTTCGACCAGATCCCGAAAAGGTAGAGGCTAGCGTGAGCAATCCGCCTCCTAGGAATGCTACTGAAGTTCGTAGATTAGTGGGCACTGCTTCATGGTATAGACGATTTGTACCTGAGTTTTCCTCACTACTTGCCCCTATACTCCACCTAACTAAGAAAAACGTCAAGTGGAACTGGACCCCAGATTGTCAGAAAGCTTTTACTGAACTTAAAGAACGTCTGGTGACTGCCCCTATTTTGTCTGCCCTTGATTTCAGTAAAACATTTTACTTGCAAACCCTATGCGTTTAGGTGCAAACAGGAACTGAAACTGTCACTCACGGAAAAGGAATGCCTTGCCGTTATTTGGTCGGTGGAAAACTTAAGACATTACTTAGATTGTGAACATTTCAAGGTAATTACAGACCATGCTTCGTTGTTGTGGCTTCATAGATTAAAGGATCCCCAAGAGCGCCATGCCCGTTGGCAATTGCGCCTTCAGCAGGTCGATTTTGAATCTATACTGCCAATTACAATCCTCGTTCTAATCCCACTGAACGTCATAATCGAGTAACTAAAACCATGTTACGTACTTACGTCCACCAGGAAAATCACAGGACCTGGGATGAACATCGTAATGAGATTGGTTGTGCTATTAGAACCGCGCCTAGTGAAACCACCAATTTAGTATAGTCCATATTTGATTTTGTTTGGTAGAGAACATAAACTATATGGAAGTGATCATCTAGTCAAGTTACCATCACAAAAAGTTGATGTGAATTATGTTAGAAATCGTCAGGAGGGTTTCTTGAAACTGTACCAACAAGTTCAGGACAGAATAAAATCTACTAGAACGCGGAATGCTAACAGGTACAATCTGCGTCGTTGTCCTGTTTCTTTTAATTGTGGAGATAAGGTCTGGCGTAAAAATAAAGTCCTTTCCGACTTTTATAATTATTTTAGCGCCAAGTTAGCACCATTTATAATAAGACAGAAGTGTGGCTCTTGGTCGTATGAACTTCAAGATCAGCAGGGTAAGCCTAAAGGTGTATGGCATGTTCAGCATGAAACTTTATTGCGATCCATCTTCCACAGACATTCTGTTCAACTCGCTATAATCTCTGTTATTCTACTTCTTTGATCATGTCTAGATTTTTAAGATGAAAAACTGAACTTATCTGCGTTAAATCTTCTACAAATCCTATATTTAGACACAATTACACTAATGTTTATCACTTTATATCTGTAATGTCGAGCTGAAAGATAATTATATAGATTTAAATAAAGGAATATATTTTTGCTCAATATGGCGGGTGGTTATGTATAATCATGACATCGTCCATGTTGTCTTTGGTTTATTAGAATATTTTGGTGTTGTCTGCAGGTGTTGTACAACAATTTGACAAATCTCTGAAATGAAACACGGATAGAGTCGAATGATTTACCCAAAGAATTTGTATCAGATCTATATCTTCTGTTTGAACAGTTTATAAGACCTTTTAAACCAATATGCATGCGTCGTTTGTCTTAAAATATTGGTTAAGGCATTTTAACTAAGAAGATGACAGCAGAAAGTTAGGTTATGGTGAATTTGTATACCAACATATTTAGCAACAAATGTATGCCAAGCACAGCAATTTTGTACTACAAAAGTTGTAATATTTTTGCAGATGTACAGCCTTTAACAGTTACTAAACGACAGTTGTATAAGTGCTTCCGTTGGGAGAAATTTGTTGGCTAAAGTGGTAAATTTGTACAGCAAAACAACAAGGCTCGGCTTTGTTGTATAAACCTTACCACGGATGCCTCAAGACAACTATTTTGACTATCGCGCAAATATGCCGTATAAAATAGTTGTATAAACGTTTATGCAATAGTTCAAAATTTATCCTACAAGGTGTTGTATAGCTATGCTATAAGAATATTTTAAACACCTCATTTTACAACAAATATGCTGCAGAAAGCAAACGTGCATTCCACACTACTTTAAGCCAGCATTTTGATGTTCAGGCAACAACAATAGAGAGCTTTTACGGCTGAACGGTTCTTTTACCAGAAGCTTATAGCACTACTTTGTTAGTTGGGTGATAATCCGCTGGAACTTAGTGATTATAGATCTATCAGTCTATTGCCTATATTGTCTAAGTTATTAGAGATAATTGTATTTGAGCAGATGTCTATTCATATAAAAAAATATAACTTGATACCATCCACACAATCTGGCTTCAAACCTGGACATAGTACTGTAACTGCACTGATTGGTGTCAGTGACGACTACTTAAGAGCCACAGACGATGGTAACGTTACAACATGCCTGATACTAGACCTGTCTAAAGCTTGTGAGTGCATAGATCATGGATTTCTTTTGACAAAACTGTCTTTTCTTGATTTTCTGCATCATCTCTTGCCTGGTTCTCTAGTTATAGTATCTATCTGGTAGATGACAAATGGTGAAACTAGGAGCAAAAATGTCTTCGAAATGCAATATTACGCAAGCTGTTTCACAGGGTGCGATCCTGGCGCCAATTTTATTTAATCTTTTGGTACCAGATTTCAACGAGTTTATTTCTTATTATATTCACTCCTATGCAGATGACACCCAGATCTAAACTCTTATAGATTATTAAATATTATTGTAAAGGCGCTTGTAAGCAATTGGTGCCCTGGTTTGGGAGTAAGAACAGCTGCTAGCTGAATCCTCGCCAGGAAAATCAAAGGCATTTGATTATAATTAATATTATTTATTATTATTATTATTACTATTATTACATCCTTGCCCATGCCCTTGATCCTGATCTTCATGGGTATTTGCGAGTGTCAATAGGGAAAGGACAAAATATCTCGAAACACGTTTCGCAGAAAAAAATGTTGTGTAATGAAGTTGCAAGGTCTGAAAATATTCATTAAATGGTGACCTTCAACGTAGTCTCGTCTAAGACAGTCTTCTCAAATAAAAAACCGCTATTTTTGACACCGGAAATATAAATAGAAAGAAATCTTATGTTCAGGTATGTCCATGACCTTGCCTATAACCATCAAGGTCACTTGAAGATCAAATGAATTTTCAACTGGAAATACATATTTTTAATTCCTGAAATGCAAATTGCCGACAATTTTAACTTAAAGTACAGCCCTGACCATGGTCATTTGAATAAAGCTTAAGTTGAAAATGTTGGATAAAAATGCTTATTACCAATTCGACTCACACAAATGAATGACCTATACACTACTTCCACGCGAGCGAGTTCATCATACAACAGAAAAGAACGTCAGACAAAATTTATAAATTATATAATTTTGATATATATGTGTGTGTAAGAATATTTTATGTTAAATGATTGTTTAGATGCATGCTTTCGAGATGCCAATTGATGGGAGTTATTGATAGCAATCTCTGATAACAAATCTACCAAATTCTAAAAAAATTATCCTAACTACTCGACCATAAATGGGTTCAGGATATAATGACGATAATACAATATATATCAGGCTGGAGCGTTGGAAGCTCACTACTAACCCAAGACTGGTTAGCTCCCGGACGTCAGGGTCCAGAACTTGAATGACTGCGCGGAGTCTTACGGAAACTCTGGTTTCAATGGCGGCCTTATGATTCCGGTATACGAATACGTCAAGGACAATGGGGGAGTCGGCTCAGGAAAGTCATATCCTTTCGAGGAGTACGTGAGAGAATGGAGCTTCAAAAGGTAGAATTCCGTTGTTACCTGCACAGGTAGGATATTTATACGTCTGGCATGATGTTGGCAGGAAATTTAAGACTATACTAACCCTAACAAAGTATAATAGAATGATATCTTTCCACTACTAACGGTAAATAATAAAAACGAAAAAACCAGTGTGACATAATGTAACTAGAAATTATATTCTGTCAATTTCATTGTGTCAGTGTGGCGCACATATTTTGAAAGACCTTATCATTGCACCACAAACTTTCATTTAAAACGGCTCAGGCTCATCAATCAATGACCTATAGCCTAGGAGGTAGTAATGACGAACAGTTTTGGAAAATTAAGAAGGTTCTCACGTAGTTGTTACTTATGTACAGAAAATTCTATTTGCCCGCATCCTTGAAACAAAGCGGGCTCCTCAAAAGTAGTTAAAGGGCAAAATAATTTTGTAACCATAAAACTAATCGCATAGATGTGTTCCCAAGGCTTTGCAGACTAACAGTATAGATATTCTGTTACGGCATGTTTGGATTTTTTTCTCTACGTTTCGCAGAGCGTTTTGTAAATTGTTTGTATAAAATGGTTTTGATAGCAATTTGCTATTTTGACTTACTAACATTATCATTTCGCCCATATACCCAACACATTCCTTTATGGGATAATATAGCTTTCCATACAGTTTGTAGCCGAGTTGGTAGCTTTATTCAGCGTTCTATTTTGTTTCAGTTTTTTGACAATCTTTTTCTGTGAAGCAGTATCTATGAATTTCAAGTTTGTGAGGGTTTCGCTAGGTGAAGATAATATAACTAGAAGCCTTGATGCCTGATTCCTTTTCGTCCAGATAATTTATCACAATGCCACAAAATGGATTAAAAAGTAAACACAATTAGTCAAACAATTTGGGTTCTGGGCTACCCAGTCTCTTAGGCCTGTAAATACTTAAAATGCAAATTCTCATCAGAAATACAAGCTGCCAATCAAGGACGTTACATATATGAATGACAGGCGAGTCATTATAGTTATTACTTTGAATTTGAAGCTCAAAATACGATCTTAATGACAACGTGAGTATCCTCCCAGCAAATACTTCATAAAGGCATCATTAACGTTTTGCTTAAAAATAACGTTATCTAGAACCTGTGGCCAAGGATAATTAATACTATTGACATTATGTACGAACAATTTAACTCTAAATATTGTGATAGATTCTCAAAAGGCTTCTGATATATATTAAGGGTGAAATGATGATTCGTGAGTAATGGTCTCAGTTCCTAGTGATATTAGTTGATTTACAAGAAGGTTACGTGGAGATTCCCGCGGGCGATGAAAAAGCGCTTGAAATAGCAGTTGGTACCGTTGGCCCTGTCTCAGTAGGAATTGACGCTCGTCAGCCAACGTTCCAGCTCTACTCTGACGGAATCTATGAGGAGTCTACTTGTAACAATGGTCCTGATGAGGTGAATCGTGCTGTATTAGTGGTAGGTATATGCATTGATTAACATATCCTCCATCAGAAGGTATACGATTCAATATTGAAGCCGTGCATGCCCGAAACCGGGCTTATGTGACACCGACAACTACCTATGCTTACAACTATACCAAACACCAGAAGGTGGGGGTAAGTATCGGTAAGAGATACGAGCGAAAAATAAAGGTGACACTGCCACCTATAAGTAGTTCGCCAATCGAGGTATTACCGACCTCTAGTACGATAGAAGGAAACCACAGCCTACCGCATAAGTCTCTCATCGTCAGTCATGGATATACCTTCTGTTTTCATGAATTTATGAATCGCATTTTCCGTTGGTGCTGCGGCTGACAGTAAATATACTGAGGTTGGACAAATAAGCAATTTGAGCTTGGAAAAATTTGAATTTCAAGAAGACATTTCTCCTTTGTTGCTGGTCGTATAATATTCCGGCTACGGCGATGTGCATCTGCGAAAACTGTGATTTAAAACTTTATGAAAGCAGAAGTTAATCTCAAAACCTGTGTGTCATCCCAAAGCTGTTTAACTTCTAGGTTCCCACGCGAAATATTACACGTTTTAGTTAAGTAACAAAAGCGAAAGGTATGGTTCAAATAAAAATTTAAAATTGCTTATTTGATCAACCGGCGTAGTCTGTACTCCCCTTAACATATTGATTCAATTAGAATAACTTTTAATTGTTCCTTATAGAAAAACGAAGAACTCACGAGTCAGCAAGGCAAGTTGCCATAGCTTCATAGTTCGACCATTATATTTGAAAATACGTGGTGGTCGAATTGAAACTTCATTTCTGAATGACTCCATTAGTGTAACCGTTACAAAAAACTCCAAACATTTTACACCTGATTGCCTCAGGGGGAAGTATTATTACTTGACTTTTTCACAAGGAGGGTTACGTTTTTCGCGTATGTGTATCTATGTATGTTGACAAAAATAATCCTATTTGACGGGATAGAGTCCGAGCGCCGCGACTATTCTTGACATACGAGATGTCTCTAAGTTTATCCGACTGACACAGAAAGAGGGTTACGTTTTTCACGAGTAGGTATGCATGCATATTTCACGGAATACAGGCCAATTCGTCTTAGCAGTGCCAGCAAAACTGGCTTAATAAAAATTTTATCATACAAAATACCGGAATTTAATAAAAAACCTTGATTTTCAAATATTTGGTGTCTAGATTTCTCTCGACAGTGCGAGTGACACACGGTATAGCAAAATTTGATAATAACAAAATGGCGGATTTTAATAAAAAAATCAATCTTGAATTTCATAATTCACAGGCTACACCTTAAATGACTTATGAGGTGTCTTTTGATTTTACTTGACAGCCAAATTAAATCTTTGTTCTTTTCAGTTACTACTGCCGAGTTATTTGTACTTGTTACTCGTCTGTTTTAGGTGGGCTATGGTTGTGAATCAGATGGTCGCGAAAACTGGATCATCAAGAACTCGTATGGACCTCAATGTGGTATTGGTTACATGGAATTAGCCAAAAATGCTGGAAACAGATGCGATATAGCGTCTAAAGCTAGCTATCTCTTAGATTAGATGTTAGATTACGAAAAACAGACTAAGATTAAGATCTTTGCTGAAAAATATACGAGAATGAGTAGATTTTACCATTTGACGTATATTTTGTTCATAATTTGGAGCTCAAATCCAAGAGTGTTTCAAACTTCCCAATAAGTAATAATCTACCGTCATATAATAATAATAATAATAATAATAATAATGATAATAATAATAATAATAATACCCCGCAGGGGGTATCTACTTTTAAAGCTGGATTCTTATCAGCCGGACTTAAAAGTAGATACATGGGGAGTGTCGCCCCCACAGCCTCAGGCAGGGAGTTTCCTTTCTTTTTCCCTCTTCCTCTCTTCATTCCTAGCTTTCGTCTGTATCTCTCTCTCTTTCTCTACCCATCTCTGCTTTGTTTCCCATTCTTCGGGGAGAAAACCCCAAAATAAATAAAAATCCGGAACCCAAGGTGTCAAACGTTACCGTGCTGAGGGGTGAATGGCCCTACGTCAATGGGTCTTGAACGGTGTGCTCCGGATACCAGGTGCCCTCCGGTTCTATTTAGCCTTCCTACAGTATCCAGGCTCTGCTGTAGGTGACCGTTACTTCCTGTATGACTCGTGGGACTTATATGACTATTCCAAACCCAAATTTGATAGAGTTGTCCGACTCTCAGTACACGGAACATACGGGTTTATCTGAAACCCAGCTTAGATCGTGTCAGGAAAAGGCGGTAACTCCCCGGTTCCTGACCATACTTAAAAAAACTGGTGGCGTTTACGCCACAGTGAGTCCGTTCGTGATCCAGAAAAGTCTATTTGGTTTAGTAGGAGAATTAAGAAAAGTCAGTAAAGTTCGTGAAGGTCTACTTGTAGAATGTGTGTCGGAGAAACAATCGAATGCATTACAAAGGGTTATAAGATATTTAGATGAAGATGTGACTATACAGGGCTATAAAACCCTGAATGTAACAAAGGGTGTTGTATATTGTACGGATCTACTGAATTGTCCACTTGAAGAGATCCGAGGAGAACTCGCTGGTCAAGGAATAATTGATGTTAGGCGGATTACAACTAGAATAAATGCCAAAGTAAAAGATACACCAAATCCTATTCTCACTTTCAACAGCACGAAACTGCCAGAGAAAATTAAAGTTGCCTTTTACTCCCTTCCAGTCCGGATGAATTTGCCTGCCCCCTTACGTTGTTTCAGATGCCAAAAATTTGGCCACGCTTCTTCTAAATGTCAGCAACAAGCCATTTGTGTGTGCGGTAGTCCACTCCATGAAGGATATCCATGCCAACACCCAATTTCCTGTATAAATTGAAATGGAAATCATTCAGCGCGATCCAAGAGCTATTTATAAACAAGAGGCAGCTATCCAAGAAATATGGGCAAAGGAACGATTGGGATATTTAGAAGCAAAGAAAAAGGTAGTTGTCGACACTCCACAGCGTAGGGTATCATATGCCCAGTCTGTTTCTACTTTTCCCCAGATAGATTCAAAATTTTTTGTACAAGAACTACTACCACCTCTTATCACTGCCTTGAAAAGCGCCCTTAACCCTGAAGAACATGATAAAGAAAAATTACCTGCGCCTTCAACATCTCATGTTAAGCTACATAAGTCCAACACCGTAGTTGAAGAAGCAACGCTGGGCTCCTCGTCAGAAGAGCCAGTGGACTTACAATCTTCAAAAGCAGAAAGAACACCGAAACGACGTGGGAGAAAAAAGAAAAAGGGTTGGCCTAGGGGAAAACCTCGGAACACAGCCTCTTAAAATATTTATAGTTTGATAAACATCTTATTTTAATCTTTAACTTATTACAGTACTTACCAGTTTGTTTTATTTATATCCAATACCACTGCATATATTTAAGTTATCTTGGCATTTATAACATTTACTCACTATTCATTATAATTTAACTTTAAACAAAACAAAAAAAAATTAATACATACACTGGAATCAATAATTTATTGGAACTGCAATGGTATCGTACAAAAATATTGCGACCTGAAAATATTACTGCATGACTATGACTCCATCTGCGTATGTGTGCAAGAGACTCACTTACGTCCCAATTTTCCGTATAACCTAAAAAGGTATAACATCATTAGGAAGGATATCTCATCTGAAAGCAGAGCTCATGGAGGTGTTGCAAATATTATTAAGGAAGATGCTAACTTTGAAAGTATCCAAATAATGTCTCCATTACAGGTCAGGATCTTAACTTCATTTAAGGTAACTGTTTGCAACATCTACCTTCCAAATGGCGAATGGCAATTGGAGGACATTGAGTATATTATCTCGCAGCTACCCACACCATTTCTACTCTACTCAGTAGAGGTATCCCAGGTAGACGTACACTACCCTGGTGGAATAGTGAAATTGCTGAATCTATCAAAATAAAGAAAAATATGCTAAACACATTCAGAAGGCATCCTTTCACGGCAAATTTGATTTCCTTTAAGCGGGCCAGAGAGTTCGCTCGATCAAGGGTAATGGATCACTAAGGCAAATAAACCACCTCCGCAAAATAGACTGAACAACCATAAATGATGAAAATAGCATCGCCAATCACCTTGCAGACTATTTTGCTAACATTAGCAGCTCCTCCAACTATAATGAGACCTTTAGAGCCCAGAAAATGCAACGAGAGATCCATATAGGTTTTTCCACAAATAATTGTCTCAATTATAATGTATCCTTTGAAATGCATGAATTAGAGGCAATACTTCAATATGTCTCCAGATCAGCTCCAGGTCCAGATAAGATTAATTATGAAATGATCGTACATCTACCACAGAAATTCAAACTCATCCTGCTGAACATCCACAATGAGATATGGGTAAATGGTGTATATCCTACACGTTGGAAACTTGCCACAATTGTACCAATTTTGAAAGATGGTAAGGATCCCCTGGTGGCTTCCAGTTATAGACCTATAAGCTCAACCTGCTCTCTGGGTAAGATACTGGAAAGGATGATTTGTGAACGTTTAATGTGGATTTTGGAAAATGATGAATTGCTTGTAGGACACCAAGCAGGATTCAGGAGGTTTAGATCCACATTGGACCAACTAGTCTACGTTGAGGACTTGATACAAATTGCTTCAAAAACAGACAGCATACTGTGGCTGTGATGTTTGATGTAGAAAAAGCCTATGATATGACGTGGAGATATGATATCCTCAAACAGTTACATCGCTATGGAATTAGAGGAAATCTACCGATACTTGTATCATCATTTTTGACAGATCGTCTCCTCCAAGTAGGAATAGGAAATACCTTTTCCACAACACGCATCATGGAAAATGGTATTCCACAGGGATCAACCTTCAGCTGCATTCTTTTTGCGATAGCAATAAACTCCATCACTGAGAATGTCAACCCTGCTATAAACCAATGCTTATATGTTGATGATTTATGCATTTTAACTTCTGGAAAAACTGTTGGTGAAACTACTTGACTTCTACAACCTGCTA